AAGAGCTTATAGCCATTCATTGCAGCAACTCCAGTCTTCCATCCCTACACACTTTTTCTCTGCTTTTCATTCACGTTTGCTCTGAAACCAGGTTTGTTGCAAGTCCAGAGCAGGTGTATTGCTTTGGTTTGCTGTATTGTCCAGCTTTCTTCTGTTGCTAAAAGAAGCTCTCTGATCCAGGAAACCATCTTCCTGTTTTCCTTTATAACTTAAACTTTCTGGTTGTAAAGATTTTCAGGTTTTCTTACGGTTCTGTGCTTGGTAACCATTTCTTCTTGTTTCCCCAAAATTACAAGGAATATGCTTCCCTCTTCCCCTTGTCCAACACCTGAAAGGTTTTTTATTCTCAAGAGGCACAGAGCTCTAAGTTGACCTCTTCACTCATTTTAAGTTGTTTTTAAAATTTTTATAGCTCCTGGACTGAAGGGTATTCCCTACAGTAAATATACTGGTTGTGGATCAAGAAGCTGTAAGCTTTCTGTGGCAAGGAGTGCTTACAGGCCAGTGTACGATCAGGAACAGTATGAGGTCAGTTTGTGGTCACTGAATCTGTGACCATCAGCATCTTGACTTTTCAGAGTCGGTACGTGCATCTAAACACCTTGTGTGCTGTCATGAAGTTAGCATATGATGTAAATAGCTCGCTGTGTATCAACAGGGATTCTGATGATTCAGCCAAGAAATGCTTCAGTGGTAAGAGGATGGAAACTTTGCCCAGGAGTGTAAGAAAATAGGATTGATTGGTCTCTGAGGATACTTTTACTCAATTGAAATCACACAAGCAAGAACAGCAAATTCTTTTAACAGCCTTCTGTGAGCTCTTAGAATTTCTTTGAGAACGTACCGTATAATTCCTAGCTTCTATACTAGCATGCAGTAGGTAAAAATGAGGTGGTTAATTTAACATCTTTTTGAAACAGTAATGTCTGTTGCGTACCATGGAGTATCTCAGATTTCTCTTCATTTTTATTAAGGTGAGAAACTGATAGGAAGAGACGAGCCGATGACTTTGAGAGGTTGCAGTGGAAGTGAGTCGTGTGGCTTACTTCTGAGGAGGAGGGCTTGAGTGTTTGTACCATGGAATTAGAAAAGAACAGCGATGTTAAAGTCAAAAGGAGATGCTGCAATCAGACCTCCCAACTTTTTTCTTATTCGGAGGAAACTGAGCACACGCTCATCAGAGATGTGGCAGCAGGAGCTAACCACTGTGGTTGTGGCCTGGCACGTTCTGCCAACGGTTCAGAATTAAAGCTGTCAGAGGAAAGCTTACCTTATTTAAGTTCATCTTTAGATGCAGATATTGAAATGTATAATAAAAAGAGAATGAGAATTTGCTGTGCGTGGGTAGGTGAAAGCAAGAAAGAAGCTGATATGTTGGGAAGAGCACGTGATGATTGCAGACAAAGCCATTTAGGTGAAGAATCACAGCTGGAGTATCTCAGTGCTCATGAGCAAGATTTTGATGATGGGAATAGCTCAAGTGAGTTTTCTGAGCAATGGGAAACTGTAGGAATTGAAACCTTAAAGCTGATGGATCCCGTTCATGAAGTTCCAGGTGATGGAGTCACACAGGAACAAAACCTCGCTGACGTGTCAAAATATTGTTCTGCTTCTGCACATAGTGTAGGTGACCGAACCTGCCCAGAAGCAGCTATGCCAGAGCTTTCCCACCTGCTTCAGGACTCTCTGTCTCTGCCAGATTGCGATGGCATGACTTGTGATCATCAGGAAGAGCAAACAGAGTATCATAGTGTTGTTTGTGGAAGTATACTTGAAAGTCATTCTTGTGGGAGTAAAGAAAGGGTCTGTCCAAATGTGCTTGTATGTGACAGTTTAGAAAACAGAGAAGTGAAAGACATACCGCTGATTGACAGCGCGCTGCCACCCCAAATCCCTACAAGTGAAGCAGTGTCTGAAAAGAATGACAGACGTGTTGACAGCATCTCAGTGAAGCAAGCCAGTCCTTTACTGTCACCAAGGGAAAGGGCTCCTGCAGTAGCCATGCAATTTTGCAAATGTACAGGGGACTCTGGTTTCTACAGTTGTGAAGAATCTGGTATGCGTGCACGTGGTGCCAGCTGCATTGACTGCACGACGAAGGGTGCTGGAACCCGAAACTCTGAAGTTCTGACTAGCAGGAATCCCTTTTTTGGGGTGGAAGTTGCAGATAAATCCTCCTGTGGAAATACCAGCTGTCTGAACTCGGAGTTGGAGTATCGTGAAACCTTGAAAAACATTGCCAGTGACTCTACGGTTAATCAGGCTGTGGATGCAAGTTCTGATTTTAGAGCTTGCTTTACAACAAGCAGAAGCACCAGTGCTCAGGTTTGTCTCTTGTCCAGGGCTATTAATACCGAGATAACAATGATGAACAAATCTCAACCCGGGGGCTGGCACTGTAAAACCTGTGCAGACGTTGCTTGCAATACAGACCGGTCATGTGGAGCTGGTAGCACAGAGGAAATTCGGTCGCAGCTTACTGACACACTGGAACAACACTCAGATGGCAATACTGCAACAGCTGAAAAAAGTTCACAAATTCAGGTAATTAAAAAAAAAATCCACAAACCCAAACAATTTTGATATATAGAACCTTTTTTAACTTAAAGTTGCTCAGAACTTGTCTATGCAAATGTTAATCTGTAACTTTAAAAATTTTTTTTGCTTAGGAACAGCAAAAAAAGCTTTGGAGCAGCGATGTAAAGATAAGCGCTGAGAGGTGAGTCGTGAGTTGTTCTTGGTTTGGAGTTCTAGATGCTGGATAAGATTATTTTTTTTTCACGATTGAAGGTTTGTCTGTGACTTAGCAAAACTGACAGGATTAAAAGATTGCTGGGCAGCAGCTCCTACACTGGAGGGTAGGGCTGACTTTCAGAGGGACCTGGACAAGTGAGAAGAAGGAGCCAGAGACCTCCTGAAGTTGAACAAAGACCCAAGCAGCCTTGGTCTGCCGTTACACTCGACTTGTTCTTGACCAGTCTGCAAGTGCTCCTGTATGGTGAAGAAGGGAAACCGCATCCTGGGGCTGCATTAGCAAGAGTGCAGCCTGCAGATGGAGGGAAATGTTGATTCTACTCAGTTTGGTGCTCTGAGGTTGCATCTGGAAAGGTGTCTCCAGCTGTGGGCCTTGTAGTGCAAGAAAGAGGTTGGCAGACTGGGGAAAGTCCACTGGAGAACCATGGAGACGGTGAGGGGAGCTCGTGTGGGAAGAGCTGAGGGAACTAGGTTTGGTTGGCCTGGAGAAGGGAAGGTTGGGGAGGTGGGGAACCTCCCTGCAGTTCTTGGCAATCTGGTGGTGAGTTGCCGAGAAGATGGAGTTAAGTTCTTTGCAGAGGTGGGTTTTAAAAGGGCAAGAGCCAGCAAGTTACAGGGAGGGTATAAGAAGTTTCTTACAGTGAGAGTAGTTTTGGAACAACATTGAAAAGATGGTACAGTCTCCTTTCTTGGAGATTTAAAACAAACAAAAAAATCCCCAAACCCAATAACAAAACTGGACTGGATAAGATGTCAAGCTAATTTTGAAGTTAGCCCTGCTTTGAACAGAGGTTTGTACTGCAGAGCTCCAGAGATCCCTTCCAACCTAAATTATTCTGTGGCTGTGGAAACAAAATAAGTGCATCTGTAGACTTGCCAAGTTTCTTTTTGTTCTTATGACCGCACTTTTTGGATAGAAATGATGATGGTGCTCGTGCAGTTTCTACCTCTCAGTTAAGGCTGATTATAATGTGAAAGCTACTATAAGACATTTTTTTCTGTGTAGTAAATAGGAGGAACTGATTTCATTTTTCTTTTCTTTTTTTCCTTAAATCATATCATAAGTAGCTTCTGGAAAGCTACTTGTTTCAAAATAAAACATAATGAATATAAAATATGGATTCAAGAGCTTCAAAATTTTCTTTATTATTACTATTTTAAAGGCCAGTACACCTTGACAAACAAGCTGTGAAGAGTTCTGCATCAAGCTGCTGTCAAAAAATACTGCAGAGGGCGATTGAAGCAGAATTGCGGATCCTAGATGCTCATTATCAGCTGTGCTATCAGCAGTGCTTGAAGATTTACAAACTGGCTTTGGAGGAAGGCATGTGTTTTAACAGGCACGCACTTTAATGTCCTTTTAAATGAAATTGATAACTTGGTTAAGAGGCATTGATTGCTAAATGTTACTGGTGCATTGTAGCCATAGCTTGTAATAGTGTTTATAGTTAGTGGTGGTGTGGAAAAGAGTTTACGTTCTCGTAACTGCCAAGTCTTATTTTCAGCCTAAAACTTTCTGAAGCATCCACAGACCCAGCAAAATACAGTTTCTTTCCAGGACTTGTCTTTCTGTACAGGAGGGAAAGTACAGAAGGAATAGTACAGATAGTGCATTCAGGAGCGGCCAAGATGCATTGAGGGGGAGCTGGGGAGGAGGTGGTAAAGCAGAAAGAGAGAGGAGGTGCAGAACTGTTAAGAGGTGAGGCAGGAAGGGGGTAGTGATTGCAGAGTCTCTAGCTGATAAAGCATACGCCCTGTAATGAACCTGGAATTCAAGAAGTCCTGCCTCTGAACGCTTTACTGTGCGACGGGTAGCTATAAAACCTCATCACTGTTATGTCTGCTCCGTAGCTTAGGGGTGAGCTCGTGTTCTTGCGCGATGTGGAGGAATCTTTAAACACTGTAAAATGTTTGGGCAATTCTGGAAGCAGTAAAATAAAGGAAATCTCTGTCCAAGTTGATCTTATTTTCTTACATATATTTTAACAGACCTGATGGAAATACTGAATTAGGGTCATCTCTCATATTGGTTTTGGAAGAGCTACAGAAGAATTACAAGAGCATGAAAATGAAAATAAAAATGGGTGTACCTTTAAATGCACTTCCACCACTATCAGTTGAGATGAAGTTGTTCCCAATCTCCTCTTCTTATGTCCCCTGCAAGGTAATTTCTTAATGACTTTTTGGTTTTAATATAAATTGTTTTCTTCAGAAAATTAAAACAAATCTTTTCTTTTTTGACAGTTGTTCAGAGAGGATCTTTGCTATGAGTAAGTAGTCCTTGTTTGCGGTATTGATTAAAGTTCAAAATAAACAAGAAGTGAGTTTAAAAGATGTTAAACTTAGAATTTCTTTATTTCAGGATGTATCTTGTCACTCCAAACTGTTTAACTGAAAGACTAGCATAGAACTTTGGGTACAGTGATTTTATTTTAAGGAAATTTTTACTCTATAGTGTTCTAATATGCAAACTATGGAGTTGTATAGCAAAAGTTGTCAATTTACAGGTGATTTTCCTGGTGCCCTACTTCCACTACTAAAATCTTTGTCTCTAATCTTAATGCTGTCTGTCTTAAAATCAAAAACAACCCACAAACAGACTTTGCTGCCCACAAAGATAATATTAGGCATATAAACAGCTGTTCTGCTAAGATTATCATTCAGTTATGAAGAATGACAGAAAAATAACTTTGTATTTCAGGCAAACATGTGGTACTGCGTGTTCAAGAACCACGTGCAGTTACTTTAGGTAAATGGAGATTAAAACAAATTTGGCAATAACTTTTTACTGCATCAGATAAATAACTAGAGATCTTTTTCAAATTTCTTGCTAAGTGTTAGTAAAATGAAGCAAAAATTTCACAGAGATTTCAAATCATGAAGACATATATCGAAACATCCCACAGAAAGCCATCTATGTAGAAAGGAAAAACAGCCTAACATAAACCTAGAACTTAGCTTTGTGTTTCAGGTTGCAACCAATGCTTTTATAAAATACAGGTATCAGAAAACTTTGGTTCTCATTTTAAGGTAACTAAGCGCATTTTGTTTATTTTACTGTAAGCTTTTGGAAATATTTAAATTAATATTTGAGAGTACTTAGTATCATTGTAGAATTTAAAATTGTTGTGCCATATTTTGTATGAAATTCTTGGATCTCTTTTAGTTCTGTTTCAGGCACAAGAAAAGCTGACTTTGAAGCACCAAAACTGCAGGAAAGGAAAATTTCTGTCAGCACGGTAGGGACTTCTTCATTACTGAGTTTCCTAGTTATGTTGTGAAGCATAGTCTAGGGATATATCCTTCGGTATACCCAAACACAACCAGAGTCTTTAGGGCTCAAACTGGGATTCTCTGCCAGTAGTTGCAAACGCAGCTGATGTGACCAAAATTTTGATTGTCCTTTTGAAATAAAATAACTTGGCGGTTTTTGAGGACAATCAGTAGGTTGACTTTTTAAAATTTACATGTTTATTAATTTAATCTGAAGCTCAGAAGAATCGTGTATAAGCGGGTGCGAGTGCTACGACGTAACTGAAACATGTTGGACTCGCCGTCCCTGGAGGTGTTCAAAAAAACATTTAGATGTGGCGCTTCGAGTAATGGTTTAGTGGGTTTAGCAGGCATGGTGGCATCGGGTGTATGGTTGGACTTGATGATCTTTGAGGTCTCTTCCAACCATAATGATTCTGTGATCCTATATTTGTAGGACAATCCACAGACCGTATGTTTGACTGATGGTGGTCAGCCAAGTGACTCTACTTCCTCCACGACATTCGAAGAACAACATAAAGATCAGGATGTGGAACATGGTAAGCGATCTGCTTCTAGTATGAATACTACGTTATTTGTTAGTTAAGTTGTTAGGAAAAAAAAAAACACCTATGTAAAACGTATATATGGATACTTGGATACTCAACTGGCCTTTCTGTGAGGGAATGTTTAATGTTATATCAGCTCTATATTATACTTCACATCTTGAAAAAAAATTGTGCTACTTAGATCAGAAGTGAAAACCAGTATGTGTCACCTCTTTGTAATACAGTACTGAGTCACGTAGGTAGCTGGAATCCTCTTAAGCACAGAAATTTGGTACTCGTTCATATGACATAGCACGGTCTGAATTTTAACACGCTGAAATTTATTTCGACTGTCAAGGCTGTATGAACGTTGAAGAAGGGAGTGAATATTGGTTTGATGCTGAAGAGGACTTGACAGTAGCAGATTTTTCAGTAGTAGCTGAAGAAACGAAAAAGCAACAAGAACAAGACAGGGTTGATTTAAGAGGTGAGGTCATGTGCTTTAAGCTGCCATACCTAATAACGGTGTTTGTTTATTATTTGAGTATTCTGTTACTTCTGCAAGCATAAGTAAACTTGGAAAAAATGCTAGCTGAGTTTTCAGACATATTTTTTCATTGACTTGCAGTGAATCCTTGTACAGATACTTGGCTGTTTTCATCCGTGTTTTCCCTTGAAAATTTACCTACAGTGCTATAACTCAATTTAGTAAATATGCAGCCAATCACGTAGCTGGAAATCTTTCTGTTTTTTCCTCTTCCTCCTCTTTCTGCTTCCTTCCTCACACTGGCTTCTGAAGAGTTAGCTGGGAGTGGTCTGTGTTTGGAGAGTCGGGTCTCGGTAACGGGCATGGTTAGAAGTTCCAGTGTGTTGAAAGCCGAGAGCTTGTGGGCTGCGTGGTGGGGACTCAGCAGTACACTACGCATGCCTTAGCACTGGTACCTGCTCGTTCACACCGGTGTTTTCTCTGGTTGTACCTCTTCGGCTTCTGCAAACCTCAGGGAAAAGAGATTTCACAAACTGAACCGTTCTACTACTCAGGACACTCATTTTCTGTTAGAAGATACTCTGCATTCTTTTAGATTTTTTTAAAGGTAGATTTTTTTCTACCTACGCTTTCCAAAATCTGCAGAGAAGATGTTAGCTTGAACTAACACAAGAAGAGTTAGTAACACTTTGCTTTCTTACATTTATTATTAGAAGCAAATATAATGGAGAGTGGAAATGAGTATTCTTCTATTCATGTTGGTGGCCTAAGTTCCTCGGCACCAGAGGTATGCCTGTTATTATTTCCATAGCAGTAGCAATGTCTTGCCTCTTTTCTGAATTCTTTCATACTATACATTGGCAACCAAATATCCTTCTATTTTGTAGGGTGATTTAAGATCACATTTCCAGAAGTGTCAGGAATCTGATACTCTTATCTCTGTGGATTCTAGTAACTGCAGGTATATAAGTTTTCCTTGTTTCAGATTTTTTTTTTCTGTCAAAGTAAGAAAATCATGGGAGAGGGGAGGGAGGAGGGAGTTTTTCATTAATTTGTTTCAGTAATTAATGTAGCTACAGATATGTCGACAAAAACTTGTCATTCCAGACAGCTTCTCATCTTACGAGAAGTTAAGGTGTCTGAAATTTTCTCTTGAGTTTAATGGAAATACAGTTAATATTCAAAAGATAAGAAGCATCATGTGTCCTTACTGATAGTAATTTAATTTGTTTTACTTATTTTCCTTTTTTTTTAATTTTATGCCTTAGATATGCATTTCTTTCCTTTAAAGACACTAATAAAGGAAAGTTAGCTGCAGAGAAAAGTAACCAGAAAAAAATAAAAGGAAAACCAGTAAATATTGAACTGGTGAATACTTCATCAGAGAATAAATATTTGGTTCCTCAACTACTTACAAATAAGCTTTGGCATGAAATCCAACCTGTTGATAACGGTCAAAGAAATGATGCAGATAAAACAGTCACTTCAGCCTCCAATTCTGTGAGAGCACCTGACACCACCTCTGCTTCTGAGAAAATGCATCTCCTTCCCATAACTTCTTCAAAAATTTCTTGCTCTACACAAGTACCTTCAGAAACAGAGTGCCCTGGTTTGAAATCATCTACCGAAGATTCGGTACATTCTTTGCTTGGAGTTAATGAAAAGGTAAATAATTATTACTAAGGTTCCTTTATATGGCCGATTAAGAGCCTTAAAACTTCTTGTCCCATAACATGTTACATTTGATATCTATAGATTGATGTTAAGATAGGAAAACATGTTATGTGTCAGTAATAAATCTCTGGCATGCTGCAGAGGAGTGAGAGCACTGTTCGTTTGCCCCTGCATCAAACTGTGATACTCCATCTCTTTTTTTCTTAATCCTAAGCCAGCTGGGAACCTAGCCGTTTGCACTAGATTTTTCACCTTGCTTTTCTCCTCATTTGAGTTTCCGCTTGTAACACTTTATGTGAACGTCTTGTGATTTTTTTTATTTTGGGATCCTGAAGGGGAAACACTTGGGTTTTTTAATATAAATCTAAGAAACATCTATATATAAATACAGTGTTTTGTATTCGCTCAGGTTGGTCCTTGGAGGATAAGGCAAAGTTAGTAATTGCTGGTGTTGCTCTCATAAACTGTGTGGATATGCTACCTTTGGGGATTCAACTTCAAACATGCTGGTCCTCTGGGAAATACAAATTGGATCTAATTTGAAGTAGCA